GTGTTTAATGACCAAACGAGAATTTAACGCCAAAAACTGAAACTGTGATTTTTAAAGTCCAACGTGCAAAAAGAAGCTCTCTCGAAAAAGTTTGTCCTCGGTTGACTCATCCTATAAAATTTCCTATGAGCCTTCAATCGTTCAAAGCAGTGGCGTGGCGTGAATTGCGATACATCGATTGTTATGCCATTTAAACCTATGGTAAAGAATCGATTATTAAGGTGTTCGCTGCGAACACCCTATTTATCGATCCTTTTCCATAGGTTTAAATGACGTACGAATCGATACATCGCAATTCACGCCACGCCACTGGTTCAAAGTCAAAACTGACAGCATTCGATTGAGTTAAAGTTGGGGGTTGCTAGTGACGAAGCGTGAGTAATCGATTATCGATATTTCCACAATTGAAACTGTGGTAAAGAATCGATTATGAAGGGGTTCGTTGCGAACACCTTGTTTATCGATCCTTTTCCACAGATATAAATGGCAGATCAATCGATATACGAGCAAAGCACGCGCCGCGCTTCTGGCGTTGCGACTACTTTTCTATCGCCGCGTTTAAGTCTCCTTGGAGAAATGGAGACGGCACACAGTGGATCGAGTCAATAGGAGAGATCGGACAAAATTCGGAGACTTTAAACGCTTATAAATCCGTTTATACAAAACTTGGAGGTTCTAAAAAAGGTTCCATTGGTTTTCTCGTGAAATTTTCTGTGGAGGTATCCCTCAAAACTTGATGTTTGACGAAATAATCGACAAAATTTGCAGTTTTAGTGGGAAATTTCGTGTCCGACCTCTCCTATTGGCTCTAACCACTGTGCGGCATCGCGTGCGGCGTACTATTGGCACAAATGGACTGAATTTTACGATGTATTTGTCATACTCCCGGCTCATTCATAGAGGTGCTCACATGATGCACAAAAAAACTAATTGTGGAGTTTATTTAAACATTTTTATTTACTCTTATTTACGTTCATTTTATTTTACTCTTAATAATCGTGAAGTCCTCACGATTCCACTAAGATGTTTTTTTTTCGATATCAGCGATTTACAATACAGGGTGATCTATGGATAATCCGAGCGTCTGCAGGACCGTATTCTATGAGCCAAAACAATACTTATTTCCTTGTGTGTTATTTTCCAAAAGAGGCTTTATAAGAGGGCTACACCCCCCCCCCCAAGGTTCTGGGAAATCAATCGTTTGTCCTGCATTTTGGCACTGGTTGTGGCAATAGTAATGCATCGAATTTCATGCAAATTTGTATTTATCCATGACTTGACACGGAGAATTAATTGGTGAAATTAGAAAAATATGAATCTCATTTAAAAGTGGGGTTTCGGGGTGTTCACTACAGTGGCGTGGCGTGCTTTGCGATATATCGATTGTTATGCCATTCAAACCTATGAAAAAGGATCGATAGACAGGGTGTTCGCAGCGAACACCTTAATAATCGATTCTTTACCGTAGGTTTAAATGGCATAACAATCGATAATCGCAATTTACGCCGCGCCACTGGTTCACTAAATGCCATCTTTAGACCCCAAAGACCAAGTTATTTGCCTTTTTAAGTCTGATACCACCCCCCCCCCNTACCCCCCCCCCCCCCCGTATTAATTGAAATTTTGATTTTTCTGATGTCATTGGTGAATGCAGCATATATATGTAAATTTATGCCAATTTTCATTAAATTTGCTAAATTGCCGTTTACAAAGTGCGCAAGAAAAACTATTTACTTCCTAGAACTTGAGGGGGGAGGGGCTGTGGCGTGTAGCCCGTGTAAAAGGTCTTTTGGAAGAAATTCACCCATGAAAAAAGTCCTATTATAACCCATGGAACACGCTTTAAGAGGAGGTTTAGCCTTGGATCAACCTGATGTCTTCCGATTTATGCGTTGAATTTTGGTGAATAAACATGGGACCGCTCTCACCCTTTACAAAGGTCAATTTCTACGGTATAGGTACGAGCGAATGACTGGAGAGAGAAATCAACGGAGTGAGAGAAAAATATAGCTGGAAAACATGACGCAAATATGCTGTTGAGAGTGAACCCGTTCTGAGTCAACCGGTTGAACAATTGGATTATGCAAGTGTGATCGCTTCATCGTAGATAAAATCGGAACATTATGCTTCGACCACTGTAAAATGCACTCTTGCTTCGTTCCATTGTTTTGTTTTCAAATTCCACCGTCCGACTGTGATTTACTAACGCCACGCGAGAGAGAAAAGAAAAAACATGGAAAGAGAGAAAGAAATGCTGGGGTTTTCTTGCATTGCCATGTTGACGTTTAAATCAAGAGTTTGATTTTGACTGTCATTTATACGAAATACAGTTTTTAAACGAGGTACACTGGAAAAGAAGTCGCTTGGGTCTAGAGTCCAGACTCTTAAAAACATTGATGAGAAAGAATACTTTTGATTCAATCCGATCTTTCCTTGAATCGAAGAGCCGAGCCTCTTGATTCAAGCAGATTTCCTTTTGAACTAAGCAAAGAGTCCGATTGAATCAAGAGTATTTTTTCTTGTTCATGTTTTTAAGAGTCTGGACTCAGGATCCAAGCGACTTTTTTCCAGTATATCAGCCATCATTGAGTTTCTCAGCCCCCCCCCCCATGCTAAATAAAAACTGTATTTCATCAGTATAGAGTGGATGCCAGTCAATTTGGTTGCGTGAATCATGTTTTACGTGAAATTTCAAAAAGATGTACATCAGAATGCTTGAATTTATTCCTTGTCTAGTGGTTCATTTAAACGTCAATACAGTTTTTAAACGATGTATCAGTCATTATCGAGTTTCTCGGTCCTATGGGAAAATCCATAAAAAAATAAATGATGGCTGATACTTTGTTTAAAAACCGTATTGGCGGTTAAATGGACCACTAGACACGGTACAAATTCAAGCATTCAGGTGTACGTCATCTTTTTTAAATTTCACGTGAAATATGATTCACGCAACCAAAATGACTGATATTCACTTTAAACTAATAGAATTTGTATTCAGCATTGGTTACGAGGCATTTGAACTTTCCAATCACATGAAAAGCAAGAGTCTACTTTAGTCGCAAATCACGCACTGCAACGGTTCAATATTAACAGGCAAAAGCTGAGCCAAAGCGCCGAGATGGATGTTGCCATACCGCAAAAAATTTACATGATAAGGTAGTGTGGGATTCAACTGAATTAGATTTGTGTCTGTTCTATGAGCGGGAAGCTTGAATTTGTGCATAAGATGATATGAATATTTTGGTGAAGAATTACGATTAGCAATTTCCGTTTTAAAGATCGTGTTTCGCGTTTTGATGAGGTAACATACATAATCATGCTAAAATTTGCAGTTTGTCTGGTGGTCTATGAGGAAATCAAAACATCGAAAAATGAATCGGTATAATTTTGAGAAATCGTTGCCTGTAAAATATGAGGATGAAAAGATTTCTAGATAGCAGTTCTGGAATTTTCTGGCGGATGAAGTATCTACATACATCGTCAATTTTGTTTTTTTTTGGGGGCATCAGTTCCAAACTCGATTTTACTGTGCCGCATTAGTTGCATTACATTTTGCAACGAGGGACCTTAATTTCTGGCCCAATTTAGAAGCAGCATACATGCCAGATTATGGGGAAGCCAGAGGTAATTTCTTATTGCAAAATGTAATCCAGTTGTACTGCTGCAAGAGTATCAAAGTCGATCAGATTCAAGATTGGTCCTTTATATAACTCAGATTGTCATGCGAACTTTACTCGACTTTTCCACTCACAAATGGGAATCTAGGGATTTTGATTTTGACAATTTTTTACATGTTTTGGTTTTCTGGTCCTAAGATAGAAATTTCAACACAAAATTTTGGTTAATACGGGAAGTAAAACACAAAATGACCCTTGCCTTCGGTTGATAATTTCAACAGAAAATGCAAGCTACTTCTTTTGAAGAGATTTAATAAAATGCTAGAGTTAATACCAACTTCTCAATCAGAAGAATGCAAATTCCCAGTCACTCTATTGTTTTCTGCGCTGATTTACCGCAAACTGTACTAAAATCAACACAAAAAAGTTGGTTTACGTTTCACTTCCTACACTAACCAAAATTAACACAAGAACACAAATATTTTTATCACTTTCGGGGAGAGGGTTGAAACCACTCTGAAACATCTCAGGGTTTGCGTTTGTTGTTCCTTAGCTTTGGTTACCCATTTTCTTGTGTTTCTTTAGTTCACTGGAAAAAAAAACACATTGGATCTAGAGTCCAGACTCTTGAAAACATTGACAAGAAAAAGTACTCTTGATTAAATCAGATTTTTGCTTAAATCAAAAGGAAATCCGCTCAAATTAAGAGGCTTGGTTCTTGATTTAAGCAAAAATCCGATTGAATCAAGAGTATTTTTTCTTGTCCATGTTTTTAAGAGTCAGGACTCTAGATCCAATATGTTTTTTTCTTCCAGTGCGATTAAAATCAATATTGGATGGTAATCTTACAAATGACGTTAGTTGTCCTAACTTTCAAGTATCCGTGTTTCTAAATACTTAGATATTTACGGCGGTCCAGGCGTATGCTGAAGAGCCGTCCGTGGCGATTTAAAAGATTTTCACGCCCTTGTTTAATAAAACCAATTTGACCGAGCTCCTGCAAGACACTTGAATCAAATTTGTTCGTTGGTTGGCGATTGAACATTTTTTATTGCGTGGGCTCCAAGATAATATTTGGAGACTTAAACGCAGGGTAAGAAAAAAAGGTGGAAAAGCGCCTTCAACTAATTCGAGCGATAACTATTGAAACATGGTCGTAATGCGGGGTTGCATGGTTACTGCTTGAAAGCTTTTCTTCTGTAAGCGTCGGAACATTTAGACAGCATCGAAGATAATTTTCGTGCTTTTCTAACGAGATGACATCCAATGTCGATGTTTTTAAGAGTCTGGACTCTAGATCCCATGTGTTTTTTTTTCCAGTGTTCCTGGAAAAATTAAATACATATTATAAGAATATTTTGAAGAAAGTAGAAGCTAGCTTACCTGGAATGGTCCAAGTCCCGCTTGTTCCCCAGGAGGAGGGTTGTGTAGTAGGAGGGGAGTTTGAGGCTGTTCAATTTTTCCAGGAGGTCCTGCGCCTCTCGGAAGCTGTGCTGACTGGTCACACTGTAGACGACGACGAAAGCTTCGCCCCACCTAAAGTGGTCGTACAGGCACCCGTTTATCTGCAACAAACGCATAAACAACCTTTAGCGCGCGGATTATCTCATCAAAACGCTCGGCAGCGAAGTTGGGATTCGTGTCCTCGCCGATAGGGCGCGCGACGCACAACGGATCTAGCCAATAGAAGAGGTCGGACAAAATTTAGAAACTTGGAACGCTTATAACTCCGTTGATACAGGATGTCCCAGGATAAAATACGAATATTGAAGCAGTCGATTCTTTGGGTCAAAAAAATACGTTCTTGTGGTATAATTTTTTTTCCAAATACGCTTTCCCTGGGCGTCACGACTCCCCAAAATTGGAGGAAAAAAATCGTCTTTTTAACACTGCGGATTGCTGAAAATTGGTTGCTGGGAGTAAATTTTAGCGTACTTTTCTTTTTTGACCTCCAAAAAAGGTAAAACTCATTTTGAGTTTGAGGGGGGTTTAGGGGGGTACCGAATATAAAAGTGGCCAAAATTAATGTTTCTAGCGACAAAAATTTATTTTTGACGGCACCAAAAGATTCAGCGTAGAAAAATATTGCGTAAATGTCTCCTGCGTTTTTCGGCTATAACTCCTCGTTTTCGAGATAATAGGGACGAATACGGAATAATAGGAGCTGATCTTAGGGGGATAATGGGGCCCCCACGGAGAGTGTTTTTCGAAAAAAAGTTATACCACATAAAAATCTTCTTTTGACTCAAGGAATCGACTCCTTCAATATTCGTACTTAATCCTGGGACACCCTGTATAAAACTTTGAGGTTCCAAAAGTGGTTCCATTGGTTTCCTCTTAACATTTTTCCCTAGTAAAAGCCCCTTGAACTTTAAAATGTAACGTTTTAAACATCAAAATTCACAGTTTTTGTCAACAATTTCACGTCCGACCTATCTAATTGACTCGATCCACTGAGCGACGTCCCGCGCGCGGGATCCTTTTCAGGTTAAAAGCGATGACTCATCGAATTTCTCTGGATCATTTCGCGACTGCTGCTGTGCTACGGAAAAACGCTGTACGAGCATTCAAAGATTGCCGAATTTCTTCCGATGGAAAAATTATTTTCGAGAGAAGTTACCATAGTTTTCTCTTGAAATTTCTAGAGACAACGGGCACAATTACGCAGTAAATTCTCTGAAAAATTCAAGGGAAAGAATCGTCGAGTTTTAAAAGAAATTTGTACTGTGGTAGAGGAAATTTGGCAACGTCCAATTGCTCATATTCCATTTTTCCTTATGGCAAAACATGACGAATACTTTCGGAGGGTGAAATTTGCGTATCAGTAAGGCACCGTTGCAGTGCTAAGTTGTTTTAGTTTCACATTATTTACGCCAGGAATTTTGCTCTTTTTCAGGATATCGAGGTTGAATGAGTATGACATTCTCCACCTATAACATTAACCAGAATTGGACCACATATTGCAAAAATAAACTAAACTATTTTTGGCTCGTTCATAAAAGCACTTATTTACATGGGGAAACTGACGACACGTAAGTTGGTTCTAAGCGCTATGAAAGGTAATTTTTTACTGCAAAGTCTGTTCCAGTTGAGCTACTTACGTTTTGCAGTTAGGAACTATAATTTTTGGCTCGAGTGTAAAAACACTCATCTGCATAAGGAAACTAATAGCATGCGTCCGTTGTTTCTAAACAGAGCCAGAGATTATAGTGCCTAACTGCAAAAATTGTATTATTTTCGATGAAAAATAATAACCATTACGGCGAATAACTTTCTATGAATTTTGTCATTATTATGAAAAAAGTAGGCACAAAATTGCGATGTAACAGAATGCTGCTTCGTTTCCTGTTCAAAAAATAAAACGAGACGGGAAAGCAGGCAATCAGTGCGATATATCGATTAATCTACCATTTAAACCTATGGAAAAGGATCGATTAATAGTAGGTTCGCAGCGAAAACCTTAATAATCGATTCTGTACCATGGATTCCAATGGGAAAATATCGATAATCGATCATTCACGCCACGCTACTGCCGGCAACGTCTGCTGTAGTTAGGTTTAAATCCATCTAAATATCCGCCTTAATATGCACTTACGATGGTTATGGTGGTTCTCATTAGAGTCCCTTTATATACCCAGAGTTAAGACAACTCACTTTTGGTTGGGCTGGAAGTGCTCTAAAAAAAATCCAATTCTGATTGGTTCTCGCTCATGGAGGCCGAAACGAGTGCACCAAGATGGCGGTACCTCGAATGTGAACAAGAATAATGAAAATATTACCTAATTGTGGTTTATCAAGAGTAAGTTGTTATTTCCATCGGTCCAAAATGAAAATAGATTAAGAAATTATTCACAAACCAAACTCATTTTCTTTTTAATTGATCAATTTGTTGATGTTGTTGTTTTTGTGTGACAGACATCGCAGGATTTCTGATCCTTATCCCTCAATATCGTTCGTTAGGGTGCACTCGTTTCGGCCTCCATGGCCAGCCAAGGCCGGCTGCCAGTCAGCTGATAATCGAGTTGTCTTAACTCTGGGTATAAAGGGACTCTAGTTCTCATTCCCGAGAACCGTATAAAAGTGGAGTCGTTGAAACGTTGCGAGGTAGAAACGTGTTTTCTGAACTAAGAAACCTATCGATTAGGTGTTGGTGAAATGATCAAATCACGGAGGAATCGCCGAGTGTGAAAGTGCCATAAAAGAGAGAGGAGACAGGAGCTTGCGGTAGATGCAAAGTGCTTTTTGGCTGACGGCAGCTTTTGCAAAGTTCTTGAATTAGCTGAGCATGACGTAAGTTTTGGGAGGAAGAGAGATAAACACTAACTTGCGATGAGGCTTGTAAGTTAGGATTTATTATTTTTACCGACGCTGAATTACACTGCAGTTTCAACATAACCTATTGTGCAATGTTTGTTTCCAGAAAAACAATGAACATACACTGAAAAAAAATTCTCGGCGTCTTTAGTAAGGTCCGTTGGTACCTTTACCATCTCACTTTTTTACCAATTATTGGTAATTTTACCAAGACAGACTGGTAAGCTTACCTAAAAACTGGTATTTTTACTGTTTTTTTCAGGTAAGAATACCACTTAACTTTGCCATTTTACCTCGGTAATTCTACTACAGTCGACAAAAAATATTGGCGTCTTTACTGGGGATCAATAAAATTACCGATAAAGTCAAAAATTTTACTGAGATTTCTCGGTAAAATTACGAATTCCATAAATGGTAATTTTACCAAGAAAAAATTGGGATCAAATAGAATCCTGAATTCTTGGTAATTTAACCCTTTTCTGGGTAAACACACCGAGATTTTTTTTTTCAGTGTAACAGGCGAGCCGAAAACTAATCTTTAAATTCATCGAATACCTGGAAATTTCAGCGCTAAAAGGGACGCAGATGCTGCGTATAAGCTCGATCGTTTTGGGAACTTTAACGAAAGGTTAGAAAAGTGATAAAAGCGTCAAGAAGTATTGAGGGATAGTCGTTCGAGTACGGAGGAAGATATTGCCACCTTCCGGCCAAAGTATCACAAGCGCCATGCGACGTTTAAAAATTTCCGCCGCCATTTTATTATTTTTACAAAGAAATTGTTCAACGAAGCTGTCCGAAAATTTTACTGAATTTTCTGTGTGCTGCCGATAAAATCCGGTAAACTTTTCAAACAGATTCAGCCAACAATTTCTCTGTAAAAAAATGAAATAGCGGCGGAAATTTTGAAACACCTCATGGCGCTTGTGATACTTTGGCCAGAATGTGATGATACATCGACGGCGTAAGTCGGCAATCACATATCTCGTTTGCGGTGTCTGCAAATCTCCGCCTCTATGTTATTTCCTTAAAGGAGAACTAATTGATATCATTCCTTGAAGTTTTTGCGGAATTTTTTTTTCGCACGGAGAAGAAAAATCACGGCAATTTCCAAGAATTGCCGCTGAGTAGCTTTCCGTTTAAAAAATAAAGTATGTCAGGAAGTCTGCGGCGTCGCAAAACGAGTTATGTGATTGCCGACTTACACCGTCGGTATCCTTTATTGAAAGGAATGCAACTGTTGCAAGGATAAGGCCAACATTTTGGAGACTTGAACGAACGGTTAGAAAAATAAACTAATTGTCACAAACTACTCTGGAGTAAACGTTCCAGTATGAAAGAGGAGAGGTTGTTTAATAAGTTTCTCAAAATCATAGCATTTTTTTTCCGTATTCATTATTATCTTGTAGATCATTTTTGGCAGATATACGTGATCCTACGGATTTTTGTGAAGTCCAACCACTGATAATAGCAGTGAGTTGCGAGGGTCCTGCGCGAGATAGCAGCACTAGTACCTGCTCACGAAGTTTTACATTGGCTGTTAGGGGAGTCCAGGGTCCTACACTGCCGTGATAGCGAAGAGAGCCGTAAGTGCAAAAATGAAGTTTTGAGAAAACGGGCTCAGAAGCTTCTGACAAGATCATTTTATTGAAAGAAGCCTCTGTTCTTTGTAAAATTGCCAATAATCGTCCGGAAGACTCCTAGCGATCGTTTGGATGATTAAAAATCAAACGATTTTATTTCCATTACATAAAAAGGGTATTTTTCATTTTCATGCTAGGTTATTGTTAGGCAAGACAGCCGTAAGTGCTATCTTCGGCATGCTTTCGTGGTTGCGTTTTGGACGCACAACAAGCACATTTTCAGGTTAGAAATTGGCAGAAGATGGCGGCACTTTACTGGAAAGAACTGTTCTCATTGGCTCTCATGCATCTACGGCTGTTTTGAAAAAAAACTGTGTCATTTTTTGTGCACTTACGGCTTTTACATACGTCTCGTTTTCATTAAATGAGGATGAATTTTGCTGTTTTAGCTGTCTCAGTAATTTCATCTGAAAGAGTTTAGACGAATTTTGAAGAAAACTCTATTTCGAAAATTTTGCACTTACGGCCCTCTTCGCTATCTCGGCAGAACAACTGATAATAGCGGTGAGTTGCGAGGGTCCTGCGCGAGATATCAGCACTAGTACCTGCTCACGAATTTTTACATTGGCTGTTAGGGGAGTCCAGGGTCCTATAGAACTGTGATTATTGAA